CTCGAGGCGCGTCGATCTTCCTCGAAAGACGAACCGGTGATACAAGTTTGACTTCTCTCTCTTTTTCTCTCTCTCTCTCTCTCACTCTCTTTCTGCAGACGCTGTGAATTTTCTTTCCTTTTTCTTTTTCTTCTTTTTGTTTTTTATATTTTATATATATATATATATATAAATATATATATACGTGTATGTGTGTATGTATATGTGTGTATATTTGTCTTCTTATCTTTTCTTTTATTTATTTATTTATTTATTTATTTATTTATTCATTTATTTATTTATTTATATATCTATTTGATTGATTTATCTCTTCTTTATTTCGTTCTTTCTTTCTTTCTTTCTTTCTTTCTTTCTTTTTATCTTGGTATCTAGTTGTCGTTATAGTTCACGTTTTCGTGCGCGCGTCTTCGTCCTCTGTCTCTTCGTACCTGGACCGACACAACGAGCTCTCCACCGACGACTACCAAAGACTTAATGCGACTGCGCTAAACAGACAGCACCACCATCACCATCAGCAGCGACCCACAGACTAGACCTTACCAAGCGCCTACTGAAACCCACCACCGAATTCGTCGCGCTCGGCTCTAACGATACGCGTTTACTGAATGAGAGAGAAAGAAAGAGAGAGAGAGAGAGAGAGAGAGAGAGAGTAAAAAAAGAGAGAGAAAGGGAGAGATAAAGTTCTCTTTTCGTCACTATTCTTAATGATTTTTTTGTTTTATCATTAGTTCAAAAATTTACCACGAATTTTTCTTTTATTTCTAAGATTTATATGAAGGGGTTTAAGATCTTTAAGAAAAAAAAAAAAAAAAAAAGAAAAGAAACTTAAAAAAAAATTATTGCAATTAAATTGTCAATGGTAATTTTAATGATATAAAATCTAAGGATTAATATTTGAAGTCTAGAAATATATTGTCGCATAATTAATATATTAATTATATTAATATTTTATATTAATTCCGAAATGTAATAATTACATGTGTGTGTGCGTGCGCGTGCGCGCGTGTATGTATATATATGTATATATATATATATATATATATATATATATATATATATATATATCAGAATTTGTAATAAAAATTATTACAATTAATTTCATCATATTAATTTTCAGAATTTCTATGTATTAATAATATATATATATATCTATATATACACACAAGAATATATATATAATATATATATATATATATATATACACACAAACAAGAGACCAATCTTTAAAAAAAATATTCTATGTATATAAGATGGACGAGGACGTAGTTATCAACGATATCGTTCGTACGTCTTTGGGTTAGCGGGTTCCATCCGTAGGAAGAAATAGAATTTAATATGTACGAGTGTGTTCAATCCACGATAGGATGATCGTCAAAAGTGACAAAGCGCGAGGGAGTAAATCATGAGAAGCATTAAGACAATTAAGTGAAGAGCGATGATCCGAGAGTCAACTCGGTTAACGCGTCTACTTCTTGATCGTTCCTTCGAATTTCATGGTCAACCATGACGCTAATGTCGTATCACTTACACGTATAAGTATCTATCTATATGTGTGTGTGTATGTACGTATATATATATATATATATACATATATGTATGTGCAATTGTACGAAGGAAATGAGATCAAGTTTGAGTGATTGCATGTTCGAGTGATTTAAGAGGGAAGAAACGAGGATAAGGACATGAATCTCTACCCACCAAAACCGATATATTAGAATATTTTCTAATAATTTTGATATTTCTTTGGATGATCAAAAAGAAGATGAGTAGGAAGTATCGCTTTAAGACCTTGAAGGATAAATAAATAAATGAAGAAAAAAATAATAATAAATAAATAAATAAACTGGTTTTGATGGTTGTGGAATTCTGAAATAATTACACATAGATTAAGATTGCTTTCAAAAATAAACATTTATTTCAAAATTAATGCTTACCAGCTGTATCCTAAAGACTAAGATCTCTAACCTATACACCGACAGTGTTTTAGGTGTTTCCTTAAGATTTCTTAAGACTTCATTGCGTTATTAAGTTGTGTGTACACTTTTGTATAGTACCATAATGGATTCCACAGCAAATTCAAACCTTTACCGATTTACGTTTTATCACATGATTCCATCGCCTATGTATATTACATGTAGTGTAATTGAAAAGTAGTATTCGTCTACTGATTTGACTTTCGAAATCATGTTTACGAACTGGAGCATTCTTTTATATCGTCACATGAACTCTTTCGTATTTGCACACTCTCTTAAATATATTTGTAAAGTTTAAAATGATAGTACCGCTAAATGGTGATATCACATTTATGGTTCGGAGTATGTATCTGGCCAATAAAAAAAAATCATTGACCTAGATAGCATCTTTTGCAGATTGTACTAATTCCCCAAACGAAGTTTCCAAACATTGTCGTAATTCTGCATAACTTACAACTAATACACTTTGTTCATCCCGTGACATCAAACATATCTACAATGAGATTATACGATTCTCTAGAGTTTAGTGTTTCAATAAAATGAAATATTTTTCAAAGAAAAAATAATACCTTATCGTGAGATCCGGAGTCAAGCTTATTTAAGCAAGACACAACATGTGCCATGTCCAGCCAAGGTCTTCCATCGGCAGTTACTTGATGGAAAACATAATCCCTAAATAATTTGAGCATATATCTATCACCAGTCTCTGCCCAAGTAGGTTCCATATTCAATTCTGGTCTTTCATTGATGGTTGCTAATTTAACCAATAGCTTAAATAATCTTCCATTTTCTAATTCCTTGGCAAGTTCATTTTCAAGTACATCAGACCTAAGTTGAACAGCATCTAATTGAGTATAAAAGCGTGCTCCGATCATTGGCATGAGATCTGTTACACTTCTTCGAGCTTGATTTGAAAGTAGATACCTAAAAGAATATAGATTTTTTTTTTTTTTTTTTTTTTTCTTTTTTTTTTTTTTTTTTTTTTGAAAGATCTGATGAATCCTTTTTTGACAAGAGATGCAAAGCAATAGAAGAGCAATATGAGTAGTGCATATTATATTTGGGACAAGATAATATAATACGAACAATATGAGATTTCGAAGATCGGTTGAGTAGGAACGTGCGACCAGCTCAAGAGAGGCCTGCATATTGTCGCGATGGACGGCAAGAAGACTGCGACATGCTAAAGCCAATACCAACTTTCCTAGTGCTATTAAATCCTCTTGCTGATAATGAGGTATGAGTGTAAGTGGATTTGTTGCGGTTCCATCGAATGTAACAACGTCCGGTATAGCGACGCAACTCAAACGAAGCCGTGTACGTGACGTTAGTAATACTTTGGTGGGATCCAAACACCTATATGCCAAGCCTGCCAAATGCGTTTATTTTTATTGTAATATTGTAAATGCTAAGGACAAGCGTATTGTTAGATTAGAATAATTAATACAAACCAGCAGCGTGAATGACACGAAGCGCGGCAGTAAGTTGTATGATATAACTCCATATAATGCTTTCAGGAAGCATACTACTATGTTGTTGTCTAAGAATAGTATTTTTTGTATGACTGTACGGTCGTGGAGCATTGGGATCTGAAGAAAATGGATCGGTATAGCCATTCAATCCGCTCGAAGAAAAATGCTTGTTTAATAACGTCTCTGATCCAGGATGATAATCATATACGAATACCATGGCTGTAATAATATTAAATTAGTATTAAGACATTTGATAATATATTTAAATATGTAATTGATAATTTTCAATTACGCACAATGATCGCCAAAGGCCTTTGTAGTAAAGACCTCTCTTAATTGAACTAAATTAGTGTGCTCCAGTCGCTTCCACATATCAACCAAAACCATACACTTGGTATTTGCGAGTCTGAAATCTAAGGACATTTCAAGAGTATATACAATACAATTTCTATAACAGAGAAATAAATAATGGACAATATATTTAATAAACAATAGACAATATATTTTATATGATTACACTTGTGCTCACCATGAACACGGCGTAAACAATAACGTGTACCGCTTTTTATACTTGTTGCTTTGTACGTTGAAGTTTGATATCCAAGTACCGTAGAAGTCGGTTTATGAATAGGTTCCAATGGGCATAACTCATGATAATTGTCTACTTCATTTGGCAGGTCAGGAAATCTCACCACATCGGGTTGAGCTAATACTAATGCATTTTTTTGAAGAATGTCGATTCTTATAGTTTCATTGATAAAAAAGCTAGGAGCTGCTTGTGGTGGGGGTGTGGAAGGGGCAGAGGAGTTACTCGATGAAGAAGTCTTCGATGGTTGCAAATGAGCTGGTGTACCTGGATATACATAGCCTGCTTGGCCTGTTCCTATGGTAGTAATCTGAACCAATAAAGAGCAATCATCACATTATAAAATAACACATATTTGCTGCTCTCTGGAAATTTATTAAGTACATGTAAATCTTATAATTGTATATAAACAACGATAAGAAATATTCTTAAAAATAACTTACACCATCAGTTCCTTCTTCTCCTCCAACAGCATCTGTGGCAGCATTGCCAAGATAAAAATAAGTTGTACCACCTACATTCTCTTGAGAGTGATAAGAATTATTGAAAAGATTAGGAGAACTGCTATTGCTACCAGTTAGACCTCTTCCTGGTACAAATTCTGGACTGGCAGTTACTTTCTTTTGAGAATCAAGAGAAAGATTGGACAGCTGTTTTGTTACCACAGTAGTATTTAGCGTTGTCCCAGGACTTTGACGATTCTATTCGAATAGAAACATCATTAAATACAATTATATTAATATAACGTCCATATTAATATGATTTCATTTTATATATATATATATATATATATATATATATATATATATCAGAGTCAAAACGATATTTATACCATGTAGGTAGCAAGTTTGGACTCCAATGGAACTCCATTCGTTTGAGAGGTGTAAGTAACAAACATTGATGGGTCCATCTCTCCTTCAACCACCGCATTTACCACTATTACGTTTAATCGTTGCTTACACTCCCTTT